TCCTGGACACAGAGTACTGAGGACAGGCTAAAAGTAGAGGCTTAACAAAGGGCTGGAAGAAAACAAGAGGCTATGTGCTATTGTGCTATGGGGAGCACAGGGATCATTCCACAGGACAGGAAGAGTCTTTCAAAGGCACCAGTGCTGTGAGGGATGACCTGCAACCTTCCCTCCATGTGTTTCCCTTCTTTCCATCTGTCTACTCTCTCACTTCACTCCCTAAAGATTTAAAACCCTTAAAAAATAATTTATTGATTATCTGAGCTCAGGTCATAGCTGGCCCATCTGACCTGAGGCAGAAAGGTGGAGGACCTGATTTCTGTGAGAGACAGTTTCCCAAAAGGAAATCTGGTAAAATGGATGTTGGCCAAACAGTATTAATTAAACCCACTGAAAAGAAACAAAGTGTTTTGTAGAAAAGGAAGGGATTTCAGCAGAGTTACACTCTCTTTTGGAACAAATTCCAAGTGTGGATACACCAGGTATTGCTCAAGGATGAATAAAAAGGGGAATACACTTGAACTTACAAATAACAATAAAAAGAACACAGAACTAAAAGGTAATAAAAAACATAGTTAAAACCAAGCATTTAAAGCCAGAACAGAACAGACTCTATACCAGAGAGAAGCAAGCTTGAGGGGGGTGGGGAGAACTCTCAAGAAAAAAACTCCCAAAAGCAGTGAATATAACACATTAAAAAACAACAACAACAACATCATGTGCATAAAGGAGAGTAGAGACTCAATACTAGATAACTGAATTCTAAAACAAATGAAATAAAAACATTAATTAATTAGCAAGAGCAGAAAACATACGCTGGAGAAATGTTTGAACTGGTAGATGGAAAATTTAGTTAAGTTATTTATACCTACATAACTGGTGAAAATTTAGAATTTTATGGATAAAATTTTTAAAATCCTAAAAACATCTGACCAGAGGGGCAAAAGGTGATCTTCATAGAAACATTACAGAAGAAAGCCTTTTCTTAAAGATAGAAAACATAAAATGAGGCACAAAGCAGTTAACTTCCCCAAAGTCACACAGTAGATGGGAGTTTGTCCTATTTCAACATGTGCAGCCTAGCTTCAGTACCCAGACATTTGAACGACCTCTCTAGATTGTCCTTAAAGTAAAAAGAGCAGCACAGATCAGGCAAATCCAAACAAAAAGAATAAAAATTGTATAGTCTGCACTTTCTGACCATAAGATATGAAAATTAGTTTTTAAATCTAAAGTATAACTGGGGGAAAAATTGTACTTGGAAATTAAAAATTATTATCCTAACATATTCAAATCAAGGAAAAACAATAAATACAATTATATAACATTTTATTAAAATACTAGAGGCCTGGTGCACAAAATTCATCCACTTGGTGGTGGGGGTCCCCTCAGCCTGGCCTGCACCTTCTCACAGTCCGGAAGCCCTCGGGGGATGTCCGACTGCTGGCTTAGACCGGCTCCTGTACGGGTCTAAGCCAGCAGTTGGACATCCTTAGTGCTATTGGAGAGGCAGGAGAGGCTCCCGCCACCTCCACTATGCTCGTTAGTCATGAACCCGGCTTCTGGCTGAGTGGCATTCCCCCTGTCGGAGTGCATTGACCACCAGGGGACAGCTCCTGCATTGAGCATCTGCCCCCTGGTGGTTAGTGCACATCATAGAGACTGGTCATTCCACCGTTCAGTCGATTTGCATATTAGCCTTTTATTATCTATACTGATAATAGCCTACAGCCTTCACAACCAGGATGGACAACCAAACAGTGGGCCCCTGGCCGCCGAGGCACGCAGGCGGGAAGGGTCTGTGGGTTCTGGGCATCCGAGACGCAGCAGTGGTCGCGACAGCAGCAGCAAGAAGGGTCTTTAACCCCAGGCTGCCAAGGCACGCAGCCAGGAAGAGTCTGTGGGCTGTGGGCCTCTGGGGCGTGGTGGTGGGAGAGACCTGTGGGCCCCAGGCTGCCGAGGCACACAGACGGGAAGGGTCTGTGGGCTCTGGGCATCTGAGGCGTAGCAGCAGCGCTGGCAAGAAGGATCTTTAGCCCCGGGCCGCCGAGGCACATAGGCGGGAAGGGTCTGTGGACTCTGGGCCTCCGAAGTGTGGTGGTGAAAACAGGTCTGTGAGCCCTGGGCATCCGAGGCGCTGCGGCGGCGAGAAGGGTCTTTTACCCCAGGCTGACAAGGCACACAGGCGGGAAGGGTCTGTGGGCTTTGGGCCTCTGGGGTGTGATGGCTGGAGAGATCTGTGGGCTCTGGGCTGCTGGGGCGTGGTGGCAGCAAGAACTGTCTGTGCGCCTTGGGCCGCCAGGGTGCTGCGGAACTCTGGGTCTCATGCTTTCAGGGTGTGGCCAACCTTCAAACTGGACTGTGACATGAGGGAGGAGGGAGCCCCATTCCTCGCAGAATCCACTGTTGGAAGGAGGGAGCCTGCCTGCCTGATCGCCCCTAACCACTCTATCTGCCTGCCTGCCCGAGGGTTCCCGGATTGCAAGAGGATGCAGGCCAAGTTGAGGCCTGCACGAATTTCATTCACCGGGCCTCTAGTATAGGATATAATAAAAAATAACACAAATTTAAAAGCTAGTTAGAGCAGTACTTAAAGGCAAATCCTTATTAAAATAAATGAAAGGGCCCATTTAGCATTAGTAAAAGCAGGTAGAATGAATTAGTAAAAATAAAAGCAGAAAAGTCAAGGATAAAAACCAGTAACATATACATAGTTCTTTGGGAGTGAGAGGGGATGCAAAAACCAAACAAAAAAAGTAAAAGCTTTAGCCAAATCTACTCAAGATGAAGAAAATATTCAGCTTCCCGAAAGTACTTTGAAAAAACTATAGATGTGATAAATAAAATCTTGCAATCTAAACACTTTGAGTAAAATCTCTATAAAATTTTAATTTAAAAAAATATGAAGTATTATATGTATTCACGGAGTAATGTTAGACCTAAACGGACAAAAAAATATTTTTAATTTTAAAATTCAAAAGAATTACCTATAAAACAAACACCAGTTCCACAGGGTTTTATAGAGCAGTTCTTAAAAGTTTAAAAACTAGTAGGTAGCTCAATTTAAACTAAGAATTCTGTTTTACTCTGCGTGTGTGATTGTGTATGTGTGTGTGAAAGAGAGAGAGAGAGAAAGAGAGAGAGAAAGAGAGAGAGAGAGAGAGAATCTAAATTGCTGCTAACATTTCAATTTAAAGTCAGGATATTTTACATAACATTTTGGAATTCTAAGTTGTCTTGAATAATTGGAGGAGTATGCGGATCACTCTGGCTCCCATGAACTGCCAATGTGGTTGGAGTAGAAGAATGGCTAGTCCCTCTGGGTGGGACAGCTACTCTTGGTTCATCCCATCACCCCCAAAGTCCATAGCCTTCATTTAGGCCACCTTTCTGGCCAATCTTATAAGCAATTTAACTGTTCTACTGGGCGGGGGGTGGGGGAGAGGAGATGGGCGGGGAGCTCCAATGGGTTGTGATGGATAAACAGTTCTTCCCAAATTACCTTTAAATGTTTATATCAATTTTCATCAGAATCCTTTTTTTTTTTTAATACGGTAGGAAGACTATGAAACATCATAATACTGCAACAATTACAGTCAAACAGAAAAGTCCAGGAAACAGGTCAGAAATTCCAGAAATCAATGCTTATTTAAATACAATAAAGACAGCACTTCAAATCAGTAAAAAGAATGGACTATTTAAGTCTTTGAGAAGCAGCACTACATGAAAGGGAACAGCCTGTAGGACTGGACAGACTGGACGGAACAGCATACCAGTGCAGCACGTCCCAGCCTGTGACCCTGAAAGACCAGTGAGTGCTTTATTTCTAAAATGTGGGTAGTCACTGTACTTATTTCATAGGATTGTGAGGATTATCAGTTACCATTTATAAGCTACTTATAACAGGGACTAGTACAGTAAGTGCTGCAAATGTGATAGTAAATAGATAAAAGAAAGCAATATATACTAAAATAATCCTTAAACTCCAGGGAACAGAGGGAGGGAAATATGGTGAACAGAACCTTCCATCATACCACATGAAGAAAATAAATTTCAGGATTTTAAAAAGTGAATGGTAAAAAATGAAACTAGAGAAAAGAGGATTCTACCTGATTTCTAGATCTACCTTTTAAGATGTGACAAAGTAAATATCAAGAAAACAGATTAATCAATTTGACTATAAAAATGTTAAAAGTCTGTATATTACTTGTATGCATAACCCATGGACACAGACAATGGGATGGTGAGGGCCTGGTGGGGTGGTGGTGGTGGTGGTTGCGGGGAGAATGGGAATGGGCTGGAAGAAGTTAATGGAAGAAAAAGTTGGTCCTATGTAATACTTTCAATAATAAAAGATTTTTTTAAAATAAAAATTTTAAAAATGGAATTAAGAAACACTTGAGGATAAATGAGAGTTGATATGTGTATGTGCAAATGTATATGAATGTAATTACAAATTAGTAAGAAAAATTACACAATCAAGCAATTTATAATGCTTTTCCTATATATGAGAAATATGCAATATTATCACTCATGAAAAATATAAATTAAAATTATATTTTTCAACTATCAAATTGGTCAAGGTTTTAGAGAAAAAGTTGTATTGTTGGTGAACAGGCAGAGAAATTGGTACACTATGATATAAGATTGACAAATAAAGAATACATTGAAACAACCTTTCCGGGGCCCCTATGATTATATGCTTTAAAAAAAACCTTTAAAATATCAAGCCCCTTTAACTTAGTAATTCCATTGCTAGGACAAAGTTAGAACATAAGAATTTCAATGGAAAAGTTTCAAGTCCCCTTTTCAGAAATGAACCAGAATCAAAGAAAAAACATATGAAAAAATATTTTAAGTTTCAGATATAAAGTTAAGAATTTTCAACTTCTAAAAATTCAACACAAAAAAAATAAAAATAAAAATTCAACACTCATTTCACACTCACTATACAATTAATGTTTGATTAATTTAATTAACTTAAAAAAATAAGAACAAACCTTTTAACAGCATCCTTCTTTTGAATATCTATAGTATCCCACCACTTTGAAAGGTAAGAGATCTCAGACCATATAAATTTCCTCCGTGAGTCTTCCTTCAGCTTGATGACCATGTTATTAAAAATATACTGAGTCTTCTCTCTAAAGTATTCATCAAAAGTCTTCAACCAACCTAAATCAAGACACAAATATACCACAAATGTCTGGTTTATGTCTGATTTCAACTCAGTAATATTCCATTGCACTACCTTTGGATACCCTTGGATGTTTCAATCATATAAAGACATATATAATAATTTAAGATATGTTCTGAATTAATGAAATTACATTTAAATAAACATGAGACTCAAACAATCACTAAAATTTAAATTATAAAAATACTCTGAAAACTGCACAAATTCAGATACAAATGAGAAAAATGATCTCAGGCCAAAAAGCATTTGTTTAAACTTAACAATTATAGTATCTATTTATAATTTCTCTCTAATTGAAGGGACTTTCTTATTTTAAAAATGTGAACAGTGTTAAGTTGGCATTATTGTTCTCATAGTATGGGATTAAATTTTTAACCTCTCATGGTACAACTAAAATTCTCCATTCATTAAAAAAGTTAAACTAAGAAAAAGAAAAGCAGAAGTACAAACAGTATTTAAAACCAGCAGCAGATCAATGAGATAATCACAACATTTTTATGAATATTGAGAAGTAGAATTCTGCCAAAAATAAGCATTAGTTCCCAAAGGCTGTTCATATTCCATTTATGGTAGAACAAATTGGCATTAATAAAACAACAAATGTGTACACATCTATGTAAAGTTTTCTCAAAAGAGAATTATAAATGTTGATAACTTATTTCTCTGCCTTTTCCTACTATTTCCCATATATCCAGAGAATTTTATCTAAAGACATGTGCAATCTATAATAATAAAGCACAATATGCTAATTAGACTGGATGTCCTTCCAGATGAAGCCGCAGCAGCGGGAGCTGAGGCAGAGGTGGTTAGAGGCGATCAGGCAGGAAGGCAGGCAGCAGTTAGGGACAATCAGGCAGGCAGGCAGTGTGGTTAGGGGAGATCAGGCAGGCAGGCAAGCAGTTAGAGGCGATCAGGCAAGCAGGCAAGTGGTTAGGGGCGATCAGGCAGGCAGGCAGGCAGAGTGGTTAGGGGTGATCAAGCAGGCAGGCAGAGTGCTTAGGGGCGATAAGGCAGGCAGGCAGAGTGGTTAGGGGCGATCAGGCAGGCAGGCAGGTGAGTGGTTAGGAGTCAGCAGTCCCGGATTGCAAGAGGGATGTCCAAGATTGCGCGAGGGCACAGGCTGGGCTGAGGGACCTCCCACGCTGAGTGCACGAATTTCGTGCACCGGCCCTCTAGTTTGAGTATAAAGAAACATTTTTAACAAGATCCATAGGTCCCAACATAGCCCCACCTGGCAGAGTACTAAAGCAACATGATGAGTGACTGAGGCAAAAATGTACAGAGCCACCAATTCCACCTACTGGCAATATGGGCCCTCTGGAAAATAACTTCTTATCTAGGAAGTGTTATGGCGGGGAGAGGGGGTGTCTATATATCTAGGTTGAACTACTGCTCTATACTTTCAAGTCTCAAACACGTGGGAAACTAAAGTATAAGGACTCCAACTATTTCTTCTGTCTCTATTTAAGTTACTATTCAATGTATTCTATATTTGCTGGCACAAAATAAAAGCCTGCTATGGCAGAGAAGACAATACAACTGTTTTGACAATGCAAATATGAGCTTCTGAAAAGGGCATGGCCACTGTGACTATATTTCTCCCTTTTGTTTTAACTAAAATCTTTTCATTCATTATATGGTTATTTATTGAACACCTACAAAGTGATAGGTCTGAAGCTAGGAGCCAAGGAGGAATACATTGTAAACTATTCCTTATAAGACTTTCTTGATGTAGGGCCGTGGTTGGCAAACTGCGGCTCGCGAGCCACATGCGGCTCTTTAGCCCCTTGAGTGTGGCTCTTCCTAAGCCTTAGGAGTACCCTAATTAAGTTAATAACAATGTACCTACCTATATCGTTTAAGTTTAAAAAATTTGGCTCTCAAAAGAAATTTCAATCGTTGTACTGTTGATATTTGGCTCTGCTGACTAATAAGTTTGCCCACCACTGATCTAAGGCATTTTTAAGCTGGTTTATCAACAAATAATGCTACCTGGATAATTCAACTTCTCCATGTTTAAACTAAAATCCTGTATCTGTTAAAAAAAACAAAAATAAAAAACCTCAGTATGTTCAAACCTGAGCCTGGCATATAATATAAATACTAGCTGCTATTATTATTAGCTTAATTATCATCATAAGTCTTTAACTGCCCCTTAATCATCATCATAAGTCTTAAATTGTCTCTATATTCAAAGCAGTTAAAAGAAGTACTAAATTATATTTCTAACATCTAATTTTTTAAAATATGCAATTTATTTAAAACATTTAAATAAGCTGCTTCACATCTTAAACATATTGTGAACAAAATGTTCAAACAAAACAAAATCTTAAACAAAATTAGAATTCATTCTATGCCCTTATTAGGGGCTGAATTTTGAATTATGTCCCCTCAAAATTCATATGATGACGTCCTAACACCAGTACTTCAGAATGTGACTGTTTTTGGAGAGTCTTTAAAGAGGTAATTAAGGTAAAATGAGGTCATGTGAGTGAACTCTAATCCAGTATGTCCTTATAAGGAAAGGCGATATAACACAGACACACACAGAGAGAGGGAAAGCCATATGAAGGCACTGGGGGAAGAGGGCCATCTACAAGTCAAGATGAAAGGCCCTCAGAGGAAACCAACACTGCCTTAATTTTGGACTTCTAGTCTCCAGAAATGTTTGGAAATAAGTTTCGGTTGTTTAAGTCTTCCAGTCAGTAGTATTTTATGAATGGCAGCCCTAACAAACTAATACAGCACTAGAAAAAATTAGAGTTGTTACCAACCAAAAAACAAAAATCACAATGTGGGGAAAATTTATTTTAGCAAATACCATCATAATATTTAATATATATCTATTTCCGTATTGCAAGACTGAGTCAAAAGCAAATGTATGTGGGTAACATCTACTTCTGTATCATACTATTATTACATGCTATGATTACATATGTGCAGTAAGGACCATGTAAATTATTTAATGGGTTCTTTTAGAATTTTTTTTAAACATCACATATACCTTTCACCTAAATTTTAAGGAAGGTAAAAACTAATCTCTAATTATTTGGTTATTAACTCAATTAAAGTACTATGAACAGTGGAATGCCTCCAAAATTAATTTAGTAAGAAAATTCTAGTAATCTAGCATAAAAGGCAAATTTAGAATAGTCTTTATAAAGATTAATAAGTAAAAGGTTTTTAAAGTACAAATACTTATTTTCATCAGTTATACTTTGTTATGCACTAAGACCATTTCAAAGAATAGTTTATCATGAGTTTTCACAAAAGAATCACAGTGACTGATTAATCCATTTTGCCTTCAACACTTCATTTGCCCTTCAACAATCATTCTGAAAATATGTCAAAGACATTTCAGTGAGCCAAAATACAAGCTCGGAGATGTCAAATTAAAAGCTTCCCATAAAACTCATCTATAACAGAGACTAATATCACAACAATATAGCACAATTAATGAAGACTGAACTGAAAGATAGCCTCTTGCAGCATTCAATATTGAGTAATGTAACAGTAGATTAGTTTTTAGTGCTCTTATACAATAAAGTAATCAAGTAATCCCTTTTACACTGAATTGGCTCTTTCTTTTTCTAAATTACTGTAAAACTACAATTGTATATTATCATGAGCCCAATCAGAAAGATAGTATTTTATAAAAAGTTCTATGGGATAAATTTTTGTGACATAACATTATAGTCTTACCTCTAGATTTAATCATTTTAGGACACTGAAGTTGCAAACTGATTTACTTAAGTGGTCAATTCATAGCCTTTTTCTTTCCCTTGAATACACTTGGAAATTTAACCATGGCTAGCACAGCACGAATACCTTCCCATTTAGTCTTTTGCACTCTAACAACACTATCCTCCATAAAATGGCTTATTGCTATTTTAAATAAATGGGGAAATACTTACCAAAGAATACATAATTAGAAGTTCTATAAAGCAGGCATAATTCCAAATTTAATATTATTTTATCATAAAAAATTAAGTTCTAAAATATAGAACTAATAAAGTTGAAAACTCTATTGCTTGTTTTTAATGTGAACAAACAAACACTAATTGCTCACTAAAAAAGCACAATTTTTAAAAGATTTGGACACTTGATCTAGCTTCGAAGTCTAGAGACTATGTAGAGATCTGATCTTCTTAAGGAACACTTAGTTTTATTTGGTTCATGGGCATTCACAGTATCACACTTAGGATCTAGGCAAGAGTGCCCCACTCTGAGTTCTGGACTTTGGAGGGATCTCCCAATTCATTCTCTGAAAACATCTTTTTCCACAAGATAAATCCACAGGGCAAAGAACATGCCCATTCAGAGCCTGCCCTGCTCTGCCATAATGAGTCTCAGGACCCAGGAATCTGTGTCTAAATAACTCTAAGCAGGCTTCTGGAGTCTCCCTGTCTAGGCAGTCAGCCTTGCAGGTAATAACTTCCCCAGATGGAGCAGTG